TCCAATGAGCTGAAGCGTGCAAGGCAGGCACTGGTCTCGATCCCTTCAGAGTGCCATCACAAGTGACCATTGACAGAATGGCTTATAAGGAACAGAAAATGCCGGGCGCTGGTGGCTCACACCTGTAATTCTAGCTACTCAGGAGGCTGAGACCTGAGTATCAAGGTTCAAAGCCAGCCCAGGGCAGGAAAAGTCCCTGAGATTCTTATCTCCAATGAGCCACCAGAAAACCAGCAGTGGCGCTGTGGCTCAAGTGGCAGAGCGCTCGCCTTGAGCAGAAGAGCTCAGGGACAGCGCCCAGGCTCTGAGTTCAAGCCCTACAGCTGGATTTAAAAAAATAGAAATTACTTTCTCACAGTCTGAAACCAGAAAGTCCACAATCAAGGCAGAGATACGTCCTGTCCTGGGAAGGGACTTACCTCTTCCCTCTGGTTCATAAACACCACTTCTAACTGTGTGGTCACAGGCAGAGTGGGTGAGAGCCCTCTCCTGGGCGCCTCTCATAAGAGCATGAATCCTATTTGGGAAGGTCACTTCCCAGAAGGACTCTTATAACCATCCCCCCCTCCCCACCCTCCTCCAGAGTTTAGGATTTCAACCTGTGAATTTGGGAAAAACACAGATAGACAATCAATAAGTTGTAGCTATTACGGTTACTGCCACGCTGGAGTTTCATGACTGGAAATGTTGTCCTTTGTACCTCGTTTTCCATCCTCCATCACTCCTTGCTTTGATTGGCCCTGGCTCTCCTCTCCTTGTTCATTTAGCTCCTATCGGCTCCTTGATTTTCTTCCCTTCATGCCACTCCTGGGAACAACCCAGCCAAGCAGTCCTCTGGGCCCCCTGCCGGTCTCCACCGAATCTTTCACTCACAGGAAAAGCAAATCGTGATGACTCCTTTCCCCTCTGGACGCAGCACCACAAGCATCCCTCACAACACGCACTTGTTTTGGCTGTCTGCAGACCTTTTCTGATGGGATCTGCTTTCCCATCCATTCTTATTTCTTCCAGGTGAGAGAGAAAGGCTGCCTGCTGACCCAGGGGTGCCCAGGAGTCTCCCACAAGAAATCACTCTGCCGCCTTCTCTTCTGCTTATACGAGCTGCCAGCTTCTCTACAAATTCAGCTCTTTCTCCAAATAAATCAGAGAAATAAATGCTCCCTGCAGGCACGGGAAGGCCCATCCTGGTGTGTTGGCATTCCGGGACACAGTAACATTTATTAAATGGAAATAATAAAGCCATGATGGCAAGGAGAGAGGTTTACCTTCAAATGCACCTACTAGGCACCAGACTAGGCTGCAGACAAAAAGCAGCTTATTTAATGTTCATCCCAACCCCTTGCAGGAAATAGCTTTCCCCCTTTCCCCAGACTCACACACGCACACACACACACACTTCATAAATGAGGGAAATGAGGCTCAGTAAGTGTAGTCACGTGTGCAATGTCACACAGCCAGCGTAGTGGAGCTCAGCTCAACTCAAGCAGTCTGGCTCTGATTATTGAACAAATGCCATCAAGCCAGCCTTGGTGCCAGGTGCTAGGAACACAAGAAGGAACAAAAGGGTCACAGTGCCTCCCCAGAAGGAGCTTATGGTCTCCTGGATGAGACCGTAACACACACACACACACACACACACACACACACACACACACACACACACACACACACACACACACACACACACACACACACACACCTCTAGGCACTGTTGGGATTTTGCCAGGAAGGGAAGGGAGCATGAGATACTTTCTGGGCTTCCTCTGAATGCACATGCTGTCTGTCTTTGGAATTCACCATCACTAGGACCCACTGGGAGATGTTAGATCACTGTTTCCTGAGCACCTACTATGGGCCAGCCCTCCATGGCGAGATTCACACTCAAGCTTCCTTCAGTCCTCTCTAAGGAGGAATCATATTTTGTCTTCTGACAAATAGAAAAATGAGACTCAGACAGATCTACCAGGGACAGGAAAATGAGGGCTGGGCATACAATCAGATGTCAGGAAGGACTACTGGGATGCTGGTTACAACTGAACATTTGGATCAATTAAGTTTTAGTGGCTTAAGCAAAAAGATTATTTTTCAGGTGAAGGCCGGTGGATGTATACAGACCAAAGCTGTATTTTTCCACATTTCGAGGCAGCTCTTCCATAGTTAGAGAATTTGGTGCTTTCTGTCTGCCCCTACACATTGCCATTCCTATTTCCTATGAGTGGACCTAGCCCCGCCTCCACTACAACCCACCCCCTACCTCCTGCCATCTGCAACTCTGCCATTTTCAGTGGAATGAAGCTGGCCTTCAAGATCCTGGGCCCCAATTGGCTAAAAGGATTGACTGTAGTCTTGTCCTCATCCATTATGATTGGTTGAACTGTGGTCACCTGACCCAATTCCCACCAGTGAGATATGAGCTGTTGGTTTCTAGAGTTTATGAGACAGACCAGTATTCTGCCTTCCATGGCACTTGCCAGAAGATAGTATCTGTCTTTCTTTTGGGAATAGGAGCTGAAATATCATCCTGTGAAAATGTTAAAAACTAAGGATGAAGCAAGCAAGAATCCTCTGGCTGGTCATTCAGAAACATCCGTGGCAGCCTTCACTCCTGGATCAAACCATCCTTGAACCTGGTTATCCCAAGTTGTTAGTTATAATCCAAAATTGTTAGTTATAATCCAAAATTGTGAGTTATATAAACTTGTGAGTTATATAAAATCCAAATTGTTAGTTATACAACCCAAAGTTGTTAGTTATATAATCCAAAGTTGTGTTATATAATGCAAGTTGTTATATAATCCAGAGATCTTCCTATCTGCTCCCCCATTTCTTTTTTCCTTAAGCTACTTTAAGCTCCATTTCCCATTGCATACAACCCAAACACTCCTTACTAATATCATCTTCTCTCTCTCTCCTACTTCCTTTCCAAACTCTCGGGAGAACAAAATAATAAGGTATGTAAGACATCACACTATCTCACAACAGACTCCTTGGCCCAGGACAATCGAATTCGGAGCCCACGTGGAAGATCTCCTTCCACTCCTCTAAAATACATTAGCTTCCTTACACAGAAATTATCACATCGTGCATTGATAATGGTGCTTAATGGGGCTCACAGTATTCTTCTCCCATACACAGCAATGTATAGAATGAATGACCCTGTTAAGGCCCCATGCATTCACTGGTTCTAATGATAGTTCGGGCCTCAGAAGGAAGAAGCCAATCTGGGGAGTCTTCACACAGACGCACGGTCCTTGGTAAGTAGTTCATGGTGACGGTTTATATAAAGAAGCAGCTACATAGCATCACGAGAGGCCACGGATAGCTCCGCCGGCTTTTCATCAAACCAGTCCCCCAGGTGATCAAACCCAACTTAAATGACTTCTGAGGGCCCTTTAGGTTCTGTATTTTCTCCACGTCTCTAATTCTATGGTCCCCTAGAAGTAATACGGCCACGTCTGGGTTTTAGAGAGTTCTATTCAGCTCAAAAAGCAGAATTTCCTTGGGCACTGGTCTCTGCGGAGGCAAGCTAAAAACAGGGGGCCAGTGAGGAGGATTTTATAGCCACTCTGATGGGGGAGGAAAAATGTGTGACCCCAAGATAAGAGAAAGAGATGGACTGGAGAGATAGCCAGACCGCAGGACTTAGTGCAAGATCAGATGCAGAGGAAGATTCTCAGGATACTGCTTTTTATTTAAGATGAGGTTCAGCTGTGAGTAACGGTGAACCCAATTATAGTGACTTCAATAAGAGTAGACAATCTTTTCTCCCTCAATTGAAGAACTCTGGATTTATAGTCCGAAGCTGTTTGGAAACCTTCAACATTTAGAAAACATGGGCACATTCTTTTAGGGTTGTTGTTGTTTAATCTATCTATCATCTATCTATCTATCTATCTATCTATCATCTATCTATCTATCTATCTATCTATCTATCTATCTATCTATCTATGTTGTTAAACAGAGATTCCCACCACCAAACTGTAAATTATCAATATAATTTTAGGCAGTGTGAAGACAGAGAAGTAAATGACCTGAATAAAAAGATATATTGTTTTGTGTTCAAATTTCTTCTTGGGAAGAGTCGCCACTTTACACCCTTAACTCTAATTCCTGGCATGCTCAGAAATCTGGGTAGAAAATGTATGTATGAATGCTTCTTGGATTTATCTTTATCTTTTTTTGGTTTTGTTTTGTTTTATTTTGTCATTCATGGGGCTTGAACTCAGGGCCTAGGCACTATCCCTGAGCTCTTTTGCTCAAGGCTAGCTACCACTTTGAGCCACAGCACCACTTCTGATTTTCTGGTAGCTCATTGGAGATAAGAGTCTCACAGACTTTCTTGCCTGGGCTGACTTTTGAACTGCCACCCTCAGATCTCAGCCTCCTGAGTAGCTAGGATTACAGGCGGGAGCCATGGGCACCCAGCTTAGCTTTGTTTATAATTTCCTTTTCTGGAGAGTCACAGCTACTTTTCAATAGGAGTGGATCAAGTTTTCTTTCCAAATAGGTAAGCTTTTTACAAAGGACTCCATTGAAGGAAAAATGTTCATAGCAGTGCGTGTGGCGGGCAGAATGCTTGAAGGTGGGTAAACTTGATCTGAGACAATGGCCAGATGTTTTATGCTTTTGCTTTGGAAGCCGGGTCAGGGCGCTTTCCTGACGGGAAATTGGAAGGGACTTAGGGAGGCAGGATGCGTGTGTATGCGTTGAATGCCCCGAGGCCTCTGTGTGCAGCTGGGTCTACATCAGCACTCCGCACCCTTCTCAGTTCCCAGCAAGCTTCATGCTAGTTCCCCCCTACCTCAGTCAGTGCCCTGACCACCCCAGACCTTCACCTTTGGTGTCTTGGATGGTCCAGGAGAGAGCAGAGAGAAGAGAGACAGAGGACAAAGGAATCTGCAGAAGGCCACTTGGGGGACATGGGAAGGCCAGGATGGATCAGGATGAAGGAGAGGAGAAACGTGGGAGCATGGTAGGGCAGGGGAGAAAGTGACATGGGAATGTTCATTTTCTAATCACAGATATCAGAGTTAAAGCTACACAGAGACGTCTAGCATGGCCCCTGTACAAGGATGACATGCAAACCCATGTCATAGATATGTATATATATATATTGGCTAGGCACAGTGGCTCATGCCTATAATCACAGCTCTATGGGAAGGTTGAAGTTTGAGGCCAGCTAGTGCAAAACAGTTGGTGGGTCTCCATCTCAACCAAGTGGGCCAAGTTTCCCTGGACTTCTCTGGTCTTACAGAAGAGGCCAGGCCGCTGGTGAGGGAAGGCAGCTCGGCAGGGCTCGGACCTGTGCTTCTTCAATGCTCAGGGTCTGGATTCTTGGCCAAATACTAGTTTCTCCCAATGCTATGCCAGGCCAGGCAAGAAGAAATCTCCGTGGCTGTCACTGGCTGAGAGAATGTGGTGGGGATGGGGGAGGGGTTGGTCAGGATTGAGTTCTCCCTTTAGAGGCCCAGATGGCTGCTGGAGTTCCAACCATCCCTCCTGTGTTTTGGATACCCTTAAGGAGTGCTCGCCCATAATCTCATCAGCTAGGGCACAAGAGCGACATATATAGTTGCGGGGGACACTGGCAAAGGTAGTCGTGTAGCGATTTGCTAGACAACTGTCCAAGAATGGACCGCGAAGGAAGAAGGAGGAGGCAAGCGGCAGCTGGGACTTCCAGAGAAGCACTGGCTGCAAAGAGAGGGTTAGGGCATCGGGTTTGGGGAAGGAGAGAGTTCCAATCTAGAAATGCTGGCGATAAGGCCCGGGGGGCTAAAGGGGAGGCTAGGAGAGTCTGGTTACTATAAATGTGAGACCCAGGGAAAATGAAGACTTGAGACCCTCTCTCCGCAAGATAGAGAGGGCAGGTGGGACCCTTAGAATGTGTCTTCACCTGAATGATTTTAAAACACACAGTCCGTGACCTCAAACCTCTTTCTTGACTGTCAAATAAAGAGGCAAATCCTACCGGCGAACAGCACTCGTTTTCCTATTCTGGCCACTGCCTGCCGGCTTCCTCTGAGATTCCCCCTTTACCCTTGAGCTGCTGGCCTTGGGATCTTTCCACGGGTGGGTGGATCTTCCCTCTCTGTTCCCAGCTCTCCCTGCTGCGGTGTTGCCTCCGTGGCCCTTAGAAACAATGGGACGTTGCCACAGCCACCTGCTTTGCAGGTGAGCGTAACCACAGCTCCAAGAGGAAGAGACAGGCCTCAGCCAGGCAACCCAAAACAGGCAGGATCCAAACCCAGAGGCAACGTTCCTTTTCTCCACCCAGCATCCAGGCTGCTTCCTTTGGAGGTGGGGGTGGAGTGGATCTCGGTGTCCTCAAAGACAGGACAGACAGGAGAGAGAGAGAAAAAGAGCTCCAGACACTCAACAGGGCTGACTCCAGATCAGGGCTTATTAAATCAGTCTGGACGAAAGCCTGCCCCGTCGTTCCTCCCCCTCCCCCTTCCCACTTCCCACTGGAACTTGATTAATCCATTAGGTTTAACCTCTCTTTAACTTTCTGATTAGCTTCATTTATAAACTCCATTTGTGTTTGCTTTCTCATCAAGCCAAACCCAACACCTCCAGGAAAAAAAAAAAATAGGCTAATTTTCAGTGCCACTGATTTACTGCAATTTTTGAAAATCAGACCAAATGGAAAAGAGACATGACTAGAATGTCAACTCCTTCCCATGTGGTAGGTATCTTAGCTTGAATAGAAGAAAAGTTTAGCAGAGCAAGAAAAACTCAATGACAGCAGGATCGCAGCTTTGGCCAAAGTGACACAGACAGATGAATGAATTCTGCAATTTCCATCTCTTCCTACCGAAGAACCAAATCTATGATGGATACCAACAAAGACCAAAGCTAAGTGGTGGTGGTGGTGATGAGGATGATGATGATGATGATGATGATGATGATGATTTCGGTCAAGTGAAATACTCCTTGCCTGGTTCCAATTTCTCCCTACAATCTTCAGGCCAGGATGTTTTGTTGTTGTTGTTGTTGTTTTTGTTTTGTTGGTCACGGGGCTTGAACTCTGAGCCTGATGGCTGTCCTTCAGCTCTTCAGCTCAAGGCAAGTGCTCTACCACTTGAGCCACAGTGCCAGTTCCCGTTTTCTGGTGATTTGTTGGAGATAAGAGTTTCACTGACTTTCCTGCCCGGGCTGGCTTTGAACCGCGAGCCTCAGATCTCAGTCTCTTGGGTAGCTAGGATTATAGGCCACTGGCGCCCGGCCAGGCCAGGATGCTTAAAGACTAAACAAAACAAGCCAGGCACCAGAGCCCCACGCCTGTCATTGTAGCTACTCAGAAGGCTGAGTTCTGAAGATCACAGTTCAAAGTCAGCCTGGCGGACAAATCAGAGAGACTCTTATCTCCGGTTAACCAGCACAAAGGCAGAAATGGAGGTGTGGCTCAAGCCTAGAGTGCTAGCCCTTAGTGGAAAAAGCTAAAGGGACAGCATCCAGGCTCTGAGTCCAAGCCCCAATATCAGCACCCACAAATGATTAAATCAGAATTGACTTTAATACAAAGTAATCAGTGTGTATAATTAGAAATTTTAGAACAAAGTTGGAACCTAAATTTCAAAATATCTCCCCACACTGCTCTGTGTTAGTGTCACGGGCTCCCTTTCCCTCAGTTTGCATTTCGGAGGCAGTGCGTTCCGTACTTCAGGCTCTCTCCCCCCCACCCCTGCTCACCTCCGTAGCTGAGCACTGTAGCATTTATTGAATTAACGACCATCTACATTTACTTCATGAAAAGATGAGAATTTAACCCACGAGCTCCAAGTCCCATAGTCAAAATCTCTTTCTCTCTTCCCCACCCCCATTATTCATATCTTAATCTTTGTTTAAACCACTATTTTGCCTAAACTTTATTAGAACCCCGTGAACAATGTTAAATTCCATCGCTCAGTGTGTCACTATGATTTGTGTGATTCTCCAGCCTTTCGTTGTTCCTGGAGATTTTACTTCCTGTGACAGTTTACTGTGCATATACCAATAGTGCCTGAACCCATTTTTACACCCTCGAATGCATCATGTAACTTTATCATCTTGTTCTTTCTTTCCTACTTTTCTCTGTCTGTTTTCTCTCCCTCTCCTCACTCTATTCCTCTTGTTTCTACCTTCCCACTTGTCCTTTATACTTTCTTTACTTTTTTCTTCTTCCCCTTCTGCCTTTTCTTCCACTTCTCTCCCTTCTCCTAAACTCACTTCTGCTTCAAAAATGTACTGGTTTCTTTTCAGGCCCAGATGCATGGTTACCAGTTTAGGGTTTGCCTCGGGAATGACCATGAGTCTTTCACTGATTTCCCAGATGTCCTGTCGGGATACTTTTGTCACTTTTTTAAATCTTGTTTTTTGATGGTTCACTTCCTTTGTTCAAACAGTTCTTTTAGTAACAATTCGAGACCATCAGACACTTGGTTGATGTGAAGATCGCATTCTTCCATTCTAGTATCTGATTGGTAGTTGTTGTAGGTATCAAATTCCATATATGGAAATACTGTGAATGTTGTTGTAGGTATCAAATTCCATATATGGAAATGGTGTGAATTTGGAAGGCACTAATGCATTTACTCAAGTCTTCCAATATTACTGTTACCTTGCTGACACTTAGCTCTTTGTTACTTCATAGGTACCCTATTTATTTTTAAATTTCCTTTAGTTCCGGATCTTTTCCTGATCATCACTTTATGTAAAATACCATGCATGTCTTAGTGTGGATATTTTTCTGCTCAGTCAAATCATTCAGTAGATTCCCCCTTAACTGGAATTTCGTTTCCCGCCGTTCTTAGACACGGTCTTGTACTTTTTGTCTGGTTATCCCATTCACTCACTTTTTGGTTGTTGCTGTTGTGTTTCTTTCTTTCTAGCACGCTCATTTTCTTACATTTCCCCCCTCTTACTTTTTAGTGTTTGTTTCATTTCATGTTTCCATAAGAGATTTCTTCAACCTCATCAGCTTTCTCTTGACGTTAGTAGTAGAAACCATTTCATTTCCATCTTTGTAAGTTGTACCACGTAGCAGGCATACGGAAAAGTATACAGTAAGGAATGTGCATCCTGAATAATACATTGTAAGATAATCACTCATGTTCTTTGAAGTTTTTTTATGAGTAATTCATCTTTAAGTCATCATCTTTATTTGTGGTATCCTTTTCCTGTCTCATGGTATGATACCATCCAGGATATCACTGTGTTGAGACGCAATGATCGTTCAAGAGCTGTGATTTTGGTGATCTAATCTTCCTTACCTCAGAGGACTTAATTCTCTTGTCACTCCTACCCCTTCACAATGGAACTACTAAATGTCCCGAAACACAGCCCCTTCTAACTCTGAGAGCAGCCTCAAGGAAGGAGGCTGGCGGGCAGGGTGAAGCCTGCTCCCTGCTCTTGACGGCACCATTCAGTTCCTGACAGGATCTCTCCCGGAGGGCAGACAGGGAGACCAAGATGGAAATAACGTTCCAATCCCAGGAATGCCCAGAAAGCTACCATGGGAAGAGGACATCACCTAATCTGCAGACAGGGCTGGAGTTCTTTCAGGGTTAACCCTTTCCCACCTCAAGGTACCTAACAGAAAATCGGAGATGGGACACAGGGCTGCTGGAAAGGGGGTTTCTCCTGATGGATGCAGCAGGGTTTGGGGGGAATCAAAGGAAAGAAGTGGGAGGGGAAAGTTCACGACGCAGTTTTTGCTTCTTTCTCGGCAGCCTCCATAGCCCCAGGTGAAGCCTCTCGAGTCTCTCTGTGGCCCCAGACCAGTCCTCCTGGGAGCTTCTTTGCTCAGAAAATGCACAGACCTTCAACTGATTAGACTCGGGGATGGCTAGGCAGCCCCAGGAGGCTGGAGGGGAAAGGAAGTGGAGGAGTGTGAGGGGTGGATGGGCCTAATTATGCAGGAGCCATTTGCTGTTGACACAAAAATATCTCCAGTAATCAGCAGTGATGAGCAAGAGGAAGAAAGAGTCTGTCTGAGAGTCTGAGGGGGTTATGATCAATTAAATATCATCTTCCCAAACATGTGCAGAGGGGAATTTTAAGGGGGAACTGACTTTAGCTTGGCAAAAGAAACACGAATTGCTCTTCCTTGGCACATATATACCTGGCC